TCTTTTTTTTAAATCTATTTATTTATTGAATGAATAGATGCGCTTCTTTGGGGTTGTGTGAGGAAGCATCATAAATATTTACAAGGGGCCAGGTTTAGCCGGGCCGTGACGTAGACAGGAATCCTAGTATACTAGGACACGTGTCCAGAATAAACTGAAACACGGGGAGAAGTTTCACCTACAAAAATGAATCCATTTCACTAATTCAGCCCAACTGATGAGCTGAGGGGGGCTGAGCCATGGTTTACGGCCTTTGGACCAATGAAGACGAGCGGGGATGTGAAAAATTAGCCTCTGTAGCTCAGAGTGTGTATTATGTGTTTTATCCTATTGTAAAGTGTCCTTGGGTGACTTGAAAGGCGCTCATTAATAAAATGTATTATTATTATTATTATTATTATTATTATTATTATTATTATCATCATCATACGGCAGGAAGGCCGGCCACCATTACAAATAAAGTGTGTGCTAATATTTTTATTTCATTTGTAATTTTAGCTTCCAGCTGTTATAAAACCAGTATAATCCAGTTCAAACCAGTATTCTTCTGCAATTCTAATTAATATGGTCTGAAAGTCGCTCTGCTCATTGCTGTCAGCACATGCAGACATCCAACAGAGGAACCATTTTACACCTGACATCTTATGTTGGATTTTTATTATTATATCACCAAAGACCAAACAATCTTACCTGGAAGTCTTCAAAGGAGACCCTCCACTGATTGGCTGGGTCTTTGGATGTGCGCGGGATGAGCAGCGGCCACTGGAAGCTGGTGACGGACTCGCAGCGGTACGAGTACTCGGCGGGAGCGTAAATGTTCCTGCTGCCGTTAAACGTGGCTTTGGTACCGTCGTACTCCAGCTCCACGGCGTCCAGCGTGAACCAGCGCCGTGCCGACACATTGTAATTCCGCTGACTCAGAGCAAAGCTGAAAAACACCAACGAGCAGAGCATCAAATATCTTTAACAGCAAAACAGGAAGTTTTCAAGAGTGCAGCAGGACTGATAAATGTAAAAGTATAGATATAATATAATAATGCATATGGGTGTGTGTGTGTGTGTGTGTGTGTGTGTGTGAGCGTGTATTCATATCTTTATGGGGACCAGAAACAGGAAGTTTACTACACTTTTGGGGACCAAAATCCTGGTCACTTACATCAGTTTGAAGCTGCGGTGGTTCAGCACGTTCTTATAATTCAGAACCAAACTGAAAGAAAAAAAACTCACGTTAAATTTACACCCGCAGCAGCATTTCATGAAAAACAAAACATTTTAAAACATTTGAATTTCAGACTCCAGTTTGAGTGGCGTCAGAGCTAAGTGATATTCACATCACAGCATGAATGATTGTTTTTACATATTGTATTATGTCACAGGTAAAAAGCACCTGGCTTTGGTTTTGTTGCAGCTTGAGCCGTCGAGGTTGGGGGTGACGCCTTCTCCAAAGGTGGACGGGGTGAGGTCGTGCTCCTCCCAGCGACCGCTGCGCAGGATGCTCACCGACAGGCTTTTAGCCCACAGCAGGATGCAGCTGTTCTCCCCCTCCTGCAGAATAACCAGTGAACAGAAAGGTTCTCCTTACAATGGCATCTGGATTTTCTGCCACAACATCTTTGACGTCAGCGCCACCCTGTGAGCTGCCGACCCAAGTTTCAAATTAGTTTGAGAATATTCTGGATTTTTATTGCAAATCCAACATCGTGTCAATGTCAGCGCGTTAACTTCATTCATGACTTGAAAGTTCTGATTTTGCTCTGCAACAGTTTGTTGTTGGTGGGATTTACAGTGAAACAGAAAACAGCCTTTAGGAAAAAGAGTTCAAATGAATAAATAATCACGATTACAAATATGAAATGATTTAAGGAAGCAGAGTCAAAGTCCTGCTCAGGTATCTGTGACTCCACCTTGAACTCGACGGGTGGGTACGTTTCAGCCCTCTCCTGGGTCCTCCGCTGCTTCTCCCGTTCTCTACCCCTCTCCTTGTGTCCCCCTCTGACCTGCAGCAGCGAGCGCCCCCCACCCAGACCGGCCTCCACAGAGAGAGACGCTGCCTCCTGTGTAGAAAAAGAAAGATGGAGGGAGGGGGGCAGGTATGACAAATGGCTGCAAACATGTATAAATGTTTCTGAATGAGACTCGGACTCACCCTGGAGGGCCGCAGGGCGGTGTAGATAGCCGTATACGGAACAGACTGCGACTTCATGATGTTCAGCACCTGACCAATCACTTCATCTGAAAAACACGCGTCACAGAGAAAACAGTCACAGGAAAAGATGGCAAATAAAAAGCTCACAGATGATTGTGAGAATCGCATGCTTCAGAGTCTGAGCTTCACAGTCACTGGGTCAGATTAAACAGACTCACCGTTTCCACTGAGAATCTCTTTCGCTGACAAGAGATCAGCTCTGAAACGACAAACGAGGCCAGGAAGGATGGATGAGTCTTAATGTCTTTGGAGGAGAGGCTTCAGTGTTTTTAAAGCTCATCCAGATGAAGTGTGTGGGTTATTTCCCTTCTAGAAAATTACCTCTTTAACTTTACCGTGCGACGTTTGAGAAATTGAATTTCAATTTTTAGAAAACGTACAAACAGCGACATCAAGGCCCGTTTAGAAACCATTATAACAGGATCAAAGCCTGTGGAGGACATGACCACAGCTGTTCTATGTGAACTCAGTTCACTGAGCTCAAAATGAGCAAAACTACCAGCTGCAGTCCAAGACAGAGGATGACTGATCATATCATTTGTCACAAAGTAACTGGCAGTATAAAATGTTTACAGCAGGAAATCCCATTAACGGTTAATTATTGAACAGTCAACAGACCCGATGCCGTAGGGCAGTCTGAACACGAGCAGAGCAGGCGACGAGGCGTTCAGTCTCAGCTGGCTCAGCGTCTCAGGGTCCAAGTACAGAGGGGAGGTGTCCAATTGGTCCTGCAGCTGGCCAATCACTGCATTGGATGCAGGCCAGGAAACAGCAGGTAAAACCAGAGAGGAGGATGATGACATCAGAGCTCCCTGTGACAGAAGAAAAACCATGAGTGACCGACACACACCTGAGAGTAAACCGGAAACGTTCTGTTTGGTTTGTTTCATCGTGATAATACCTCCAGGTTTGGAAACACATTATCCTGCTTGTTTCCAAAGGCTCCTCCATACATGGTGAAGTCCTCGATGCTCATCTGAAGACCGAGAGGAAAAACAATGAGTCATAAATGTTTTAGACCACAGAGAGCAAAGAGAAACTGTGAGAGACGGTTTTAACCTTCAAACACTGCTGACCTGTGAGGCCGTCTGCCATTAGTTTTAAAAGTCTTGACCAAATTAAATAAAGAAATACCAAAACTTGAAGAGTTCTGATAAATGCGAAAAGGCTACATGATCATGCACATGAACGGGGCGGGGCCATATAAGAGCAAACGAGACGAGGAGCATTTGTGCTTGTGTTTAGCTTTAGTGCCTCAGAAGAAATTAAAAAAAAAAAAATCAAGGACACTCAACAACAGCGTGAGGGTTTACCTTGTCCTGAAGGAAGAGGACTATGTTATGTGGTCCGACGTCCAGAGCTTTCTCCAGGTAGGAGGCCAGCTGCTGCTGCCCAACGATGTGCCCGGCTGTTGGAGGAGCCTGAGCTGGCAGGGAGATGCTGCAGGAGACACCAAGCACAGGTGGAGGAGTCATGAAGTGCTGCTACATAACAAGAAGAGTCCTCTACCAGACAGAATTTGATGGATTCACAGTGAAGCGGTTTTATTATTGTCGTTTCAACCATCTGCAAGAACCTATACGGCCTTTAATGAGAGAGGACCAAATTATCTGCAGATAAACCTGCATCACGTCAAACAGCACATTCCTGATTTTCTTGCAGATACAGATGATTGAATATTATTAAAACAGGAGAAAAACCCAAGCACTTCACAATGTGAACTTCTCACATCCGAAGACCCTCATCAAAGGCCGTCAAATACATAATTTATTCGTTTTTACAGTATGAAAGCCTTTGATAACACATGCTGCTCTGTCTTCTGTGTGTCAGGCAGCACAGACAGATGCAGGAGTGTTTGCTAGCTGTCAGGTGGACTGCACCCGTCACTCATTGGGCCTGCAGGATATTCTCATGTCACGTTCTCTGACTTAACCTCGTGTTTCAGCCAGTCCGCTCAAATTAAACGTTTTCCGGGCCGTGTACTGTGGTGACGAAGCAGAGAACATAGTTTTTGTCCGCTGTTTGTCTCACGGCTAGCCGTTAGCCGCTGAGGTCGCAGAAGGAGCCGCGGAAACGGGACCAAAATCAGTAAAACTTCACGGCTACGCACCTTCCGCTGGTCCACAGCAGGAGCGGCACCTGCTCGTCGCAGCTCGCCAGCTTCAACACGTTCAATAAAGCGAGAAAAACGGCCACAGCCGCAGTGATGCGCCGCCGCTGCAGTGCCCCCGCCGCCATCTTTACAGCCTCTGACAGCACGCTCGTGACGTTTCACGAGATCGCTTGACCAGATCACGTGACAAGACGGCGCAGCGGCGGATGTGAAAAAGGAATTTTTATTTTTACTTCAAATGTATCAACGTTTTAATATTCTATTATTTGTAAGTGTTGTTTTATTTTGCTAATATTAGACACAATGTAGTAATGGCAAATAACCATGATTTATTGTTCACGTGATACTATTATTTCAATGTCATTTAATGTTATTAAATGTTTTTTTTTTTAAATACAAATACAAGTATTATTTACTGTAACAGATATATTGGAAACCGTAATTCCCTTCGACATGTCCAATTAATCATCCAAAGTGAGAATATTAATCTTCTTAAAAATGAAGTTCTACAAAAATATGGAAACATTCACGATTTAGCATAAACTGGTCATCTTTAGTGGCTTAATGTACACTTTGTCTACATAAAGTGTAAGGTTTGCTAAGCACTCATTATGCCACCAAACTGTTCGTGGATCTGTTAGACTGGTGCAGAGTTTAGAGATGAACCACAAATGGAACAAATTCAAACTTAGAAAAGTCAGATTCTTTATTGGACTTCACATCAAGTATAGGAAAGAGTGGCAATCACATTAAGGCGATACACTTATAAAATTAGCACAGATTTTGTCCCTTATAAAATCCTTTTTGTCCTCTGTGATAAAATAAGTTATGTACATCGGTGATGGGGCAGCATTCAGGGGTTTTAGGATTAACAGGAAAACTTTGATTGAAAAAGAAAATTATCAACACAACTCAGAGATGACTGAAAAACAGCAAGGAGCAATCCAATGATCAAACATAACAGTGCGATTACCTCAATCATTTACTGCCTGAGCATCTTTCTGATAACAGCTGCAAACATCTGGCATGCAGCACTTTGACTTCCTCATGCACAGAGGAGCATGATGAGTACTAATATTTAGTAGTTTAAACAACAGCAGCTTTACATCTTAAAGAAAAAAAGAACTGGTTATTAAACAGATCATCAAAATTGAACAATTCAGCAAAACTGAGAAAAGCATTCAGCTGGTGCAGAGCCCGATCAGAGCAGGATCATTTCTCCCACACTGACAAGTTACCAGATAAAACGTGCACTCCATGACCCGTCGGTGAGCAGCTGCTGTCTGTTGCTAGGTGAAACCTCCTTGTTACTTAGAGCCTGGCAGAAATACTTATTCATACATAGTGACTGGTGGTCAGGCAGTCACCAGGTGCTCACCCTAGTAACTGGGACTTGGTTAACTAGTCTTGGTTTGCTGCCCTTTTTGAGATCTATTGTGTGTTTCACCAGTAAGAAAAAAAACAAAGTTCAAGGCTATTGTTCACCGCACCCTCCCCCCCACACACACACACACACAAAGGTCATGAGGTTCACTCGCCCATCCATCACCCGACCTCCTCTCTCCTCCTCAGACTCAACACCAGCTTCTGCTGCTGCTCTGGACTTCAAAGTTGGATGACATGAAAAGCTGAATCATCAAAATCAAAATGCCTTCTGATACCAAGGAGGTAAAAGAAATTCTCCTGAGGGCTTCTGGTTCTAAAGGGTCCCAGAGAAACCATGTATTCATATGTAATCAATCATTCATACATCTGCAGTGCTACTCGTCCTGTTTAGGTGTGCAGTGGACCAACCTGATTTTGAAGCAATAACTGAATTACAAAATGAGTTTGTTGCATCCAAAGTTACAGAAATGCTCGTTTACGACTGTCAGCGAAACACTCTGAGGCTCAGTGATGTCTCCGTGTGGAGGTGTGGGAGCTTCTCTGTACATGGGGTGTTATCCTCAGGGCTGATGTGTGAAGGACCAGTGTCTGCAGGCAAACGCAGGACGGCTAGGACTCAGGATCTGGTCTCTACCTGCTTGTGCAGGGCCTCGGCCTGGGCTTTCAGGCTCCGAAACTCCACCTGGACGAAATCCGTCAGGGTCTTCCTCATTTCCAACTGAGGGGAAAATTTGAAACGTACATTCAGTATCTGTTATAATTACTTTCTACATTTGAGAAAGTGAAATCTGTGAGAGTTAGTTAGGATTCAATCATGGTGTTCATGGTGACGTCCTGAAACCTCCTGTTTTATCTGACAGAAGAAGTTTTTTGTTGTTTTTTTACTTGCTGGTGTCAGCGAACTTCATGACAGCACCTTAGATGAAGCCGTGCTCACCTGGCTCTTGTTTTCAGCTCGGAGGGTTTCAACGAGATCTTTGACACTGAACGGTTTCCCCACGAGGACGGTGATTCTCTGGAAGACAACGAAATATGTTAAAAAAACAAAAAACCCTCAAAGATCCGAACACATCCTGGAGTCAGACTGAAGGCGTCTCACCTTGCCCGTGCGAGGAATGTAGGGCTCCACGTTGGGCAGCACGTCGCTCAAACCTGACATGAAGCAGAGAAGAAGTGATGCGTTTCCTCTGTACCTGCATCACTGCGTGGCGCTGTTCGCCGACCTTAAGCCATCAGACTGCTGCTACCTTGCTAATGTCTTGTGGTGACATCTTAATCTGTAGTCTGAGATATTCTGAAGCCATAACAAGAGCGTCACTCACCCACGTGCCAGAGTGGCAGGATTATCGGATTAAGCGAGCACTCCGCTATCAGCCGACCAACACCTAAAACCACAGAAGCACAAATGTTCACACTGATGATCACAGCACGACATCTGCTCCAACAGAGACGCACAAACTGCGCTCACCCCACTTTAAACGTATGAATTCCTCCGTCATGTTGATTTTGCCTGAAATAAAATCAGAGAAGAAGAGTTCATTTTCACAGTAAGAAAAAAAATAACGACATGTGAGGAGGAGGTTCACAGACCTTCTGGAAAGACGTGCACCCACTCTCCTTTGTTCAGCTTCTCCAGAATAAAGTCCATTCCTTTCTGGTAAACTCCATCACCTACAGACACAAAACGGTTTTACACACGTTTTGATCACTTAAATAATATCGTGTAACAATGTCAGTGTGCCTGTTTGCATGTAAGAGTCTACATGGACTTGTCCCATTAAGGTCTGTGAGCATTCCTCACTCATTTCTGTCTATTATGTCAAGGCTTTTTGTTTTCTCTTATATTTATGTTATTAGTTTATTAGTAAGTTTAATGCGACTGGCTGCATGACTGTGGAAATTTGCAGTTTTGCTATAATCAGCCAGGTTTACAGTATGTTTGATATACTTGTGTTCGTGTCTTGTCCTTGTTAAATAATGGAAAGAAAGAAAAAGAAAACGTCTGCTGAAGGTTTTCTGTCATTCACAGGACAACAAACTGAAACAGTAAAAGCCCGACGTTCAGACTTCTGCTCGGATACTTGGCTCATGTGGTGTGATGCGCTCAGATGGGCTTACCTCTGCAGACGGGAACACACTTCCCTCGGCTGAAGAACCTGGAGTGCAGCTCTTTAGTGAAGCAGATGTCAGATGCTGTAGGTGTCCTGTCCAATCACAGGTAAGTGAAAATTACACGTCCCTGCTTCTAAAACATTAACAGGCTGAAGCTCAGAAGAAACGAGATGAAGCTCACCATCGCATCTTTTTGAAGTTCCACAGCTGCCTGAGCCTCAGGACGCCTGCCGCAAACACACGCCGTTACCATCCAAGTGTTAACCAGCAGTGAGATTTCAGATCGAGTGTCTGCTCTTACCCCAGATGTGCGGATCATCCATACAGGACTGGTGGTTGGATAGAGTGATGAGGGGCGTGTCCGAAGGCCTCTGGTCAACCAGGTTCAACAGAACCTCGTGGTTGTGGACCGTCAGACAGTTCATGTACTCTTAGGAAGAAGAGCAGGAGGCAGGATCAGTCGAAGGTTCTCTGAGTGACATCCAGAAAATTAAGATGAACGTAAAATTTGCTTTCTTCTCGTTGATATCAGCAGCTCGCTTTCCCTCTAACTCCTCTGTGAAGCCACATCACTGTTATCTTCGTCCTCGTGTGGACTCTGTGCTGTACTGTGTATTTTATTTAACAGTACAGTTCAGTCACTCATGCTCTCACTGAGCATAAACACCCAGAGACCGTTGGAGGCAACCAAGGGACTTGATTTTCTTTTTAAAGAAGTGCAGTTTGCTGCTAATAAGCGAGAGTGTACAAGTTATCATTCAGCTTATAACTTACTGGTCCAGAAGTAGGAGTAGGAGCCCACCATGCCCATGATCAGTGAGCTGGAGACCCTCCACGGCAGAGCGGGGCATTGAGGGAACGGCCATCTCACCTCCAGGGGCATCACGGCGCTCTGCTGACACTACATCCACACACACACTCACCTGAACACAAAGCCACGCAGGGGGAGGCTGAATGACAGAGACAGCAGGTGGCGCTCAAACCAAACTCCTGCTGTCATACTGTAAGAGCTAATCTTCATTAAAAGCAACAACTTTATTTGTTTGGTTTTTGCTTCCTGTCAACAAAACATTTTGTCTGCTGCGTTTGAAAAGCAAACTCCTCCATGTGTTATATGATTAAAAAGAAAAACAGCTTCCCACATATAACCGTATGTAACGATAATAATAATAATAATAATAATAATAATAATAATAATAATAATAACTCCATGTGAGTGCCTGTATAGTTTCTGTAAGGATTTTTATTTGCACTGAAAATGTTCAAAGAGGACTCAACATGCTCCTGTCTGCACACCTCAGGGTTAACCCTGAACTTACTTTGATACGGTCAAATCCTGCATGGTGACTCAGACCTCTGAGGTTTAAACCCAACTACGAAACAGGAAAGTTATCTGAAAACTGTCGTTTTTGTATCTCAGCCACTGCCAACTACAGTTTATCCGAACAACGTGTGTCCTCGAGTACATCTTAGAGTTTTATTCTATGCAAAAATAAAACAAAAACCTGTTGAAATGATGTTTTGGACCTTTAGGACACCGTAGCCAAAGAACAAACAAAAAAAATCAAAAGAAACTTAAAACGAACCAAATTTATAAAGTTGAGTCTTTGTATTGTCTATAAGAGACCAAACTAAGTTTGAATAAATTCCACGTGGTTATATTTATGTCTCACAGCTGTCTCATTAGCTCACGCAGCTTTAGGATGAAGTGAGCAGGAAGAGCAGCCGGCTAACGTTAGCCTGTTAGCTCCTAGCCAAAGTTTACGGCACACTGACTTCTGAGAGACGTGATAATGAAAGAAAACAACGAAAAAGTTCATAGTTCAAAATTTAACTCATCCGAGTTAAATGTTAAAGGAGTGTTGTCTCAGCTAACGGTGCTCGGCAGCTGCACTCACATTATGTCAGATTAGCTAAAAACGGGTTTTATTTCCTCAGAAATGCAGAAAAAAAATTCGTCGTTAATTTTTCTGAAACTGCATAAAAACATTTAAAGACATGAAAACTCCGACAGCTGCAAACATCACCACATCTTACATTTCCTCACCTTTCTCCTATCTCCTGCTAACAGGCTGATGGTCACCAACCCCGGAAGCTGTTATCACGCGCTGAACTATGGGTAATGTAGTTTTCGGTTAAACTTTACGTTTTCCCTGTTTATTACAGATGCGCGCAATTTATATTTATGTTTCTTTCAAACACGTTAACGCTCCATAAAATAAGACGACTTCAAGACGCTGTTATTTCCTTTAAACGGGTTTAATGTAGTCCATCAACCTCTTCAGCAATGAGAAACGAGGTTTTATGGGTAACGGAGTCTGGGAAGTAGGCCAAAGGTGACGGTTTTTTTCTTTAATCGGACCTTCTCTGTAAGAAAATAATAATTAAACACAACATATGTAGATGGCTCATTTAGTATTCAATCAGGATACAACTTCTGGAAGTAGCCAGTTATTACAATAATACTAAACTGCAAAAGCCCCGAAAATGAAATAAATAAGTACTGCGTTAATAGCAGCACTCAGCACCCCCACTCCTCTGTGTTATGCTGTCAGCATCGATGATAAGGAAATCTAGTCTATATTAACTAAACTAAAACTTTTGTCTATTGACAATGAAGGTCAAGATTAAATGCTCGGCTGACCGTGGTATTCATGTCCGCAGGGCCTATATATTCTTGTGATGTTTTGATCTTTAAAAATTGTTGGTAAAATAAAGTTTTCACAGATTTTCACATGTGAAACGTACGCACAATAGTAATTAAAAATACAGCTTTCCACAGTGCATGTTCATGAATATGTCTGTATTTTTTCAGTGAATTAGAAAATAAAATTAGTAAAAACAGTTTATATTTGAATTTATTTTGTTCAATGCAATCTTTAGATTCCATACAAACATTTTTGGTCTCATCATTATCGTCTGTTTTGCTTGTTATTTAAAATGACCATAAAGAAAAAAACCTCTTGTGCTCCGTCATGGCAACAGTATTTGCATAATTTCTGCTGTGTATTTGTTTGGTCTCAACTCCTGTTCAGGTCTCGCAGAGGCAACATGATCTCTTCAAAGGCTTCATATACAAATGCAGATGGAGCCCTTTGCCCCTGCAGTGGGCCAGTGGCCCATTTAAAGCAATTCCATGTCTAGCAAAGTGACGTCATCTATTTAAATACTTGGATTGAAGAAATACTGATGCTGGTATCTCATCACCATCCAGCAATGTCTGTTTGGGAGCTTAGTTGTGCCTGTGTAGCATTCACACTGTATTATTCTCTCTAATAAATAGCATGTACTTCACATTCCAGGGTACATACCAGGATACTGGACACACGTACAATTATTATGACTGCACTGGTGCATACGAGCAGCTGGGAAACTCTGCTACTACTGACAAAGGAAGAGGAGAGGGGGGAGGCATGTTTGGAGGCAGTGAGAGAGAAGGACAATTCATGAATGTAGTGAAGGAGGACAGGCAGAGAGTCGGTGTGACAGAAGAGGATGCAAAGGCAGAGAAGATGAAGGCAGATGATCTGCTGTGAAGAAGAAGAAGAAGAAAAGGTCTGGAACTTGTAAACAACAGGACCTGAAGATTTGCTGAAACTTTCAGTTTTGAGACGCCTTAACGCCCACTCACATCCTGGGCCATCTGACCTCAGGAAATCACATGATAGGGTGGGGCCAGGTTTCACAATGAGCTCATCCGAAACTCTGGCTGATTGTGACCCACACCCGCTTTGACACCTTGGCTCATGTGATTAGAGGATCATCAGGGGGTCCTTTGTCCCTCTTTGGGGGGAAACTCCTGGGTTTAAATCTGGGACTCTCCACCATTTGACTCTAGAACTGAAGAAGCTGTCTCTCAAATTGTACATGTTTCCACTGCTCCCAATCTCAGGAACAATGACAGACGCCACGTTTTTGGAAAATATATTTTTAAAAGTTTAAAAGTACACGTTAGATTTATTTCACCAACACTGTTTGAGGGAGAAAATCTCCAGTTACTGCTTCGTCGTCTTTCACCAGCTCGGTGCGAGCAGGTTCAGGCCCTTTAATGCCACCTCAAATCCCAGAAAACAAGCCTGAGAGGGAGAGAGGAGAAGAAAGCCATGATGAACACGTGTGCACTGTACTGATATCAGGGGTGAGATGTATTAATATTTGAATGAGTGTTACAGCGTTGGCTGGGAAGGCTCGCAGGAAAACTGCATTGAAGCCCTTGTAGAGAGCTTTAGGTCCTTCTTCTCGAAGCAGTGCTCGCAGGACATCAGCCAGACCTCTGTACTTCCCATCTGCAGCTACACACAAACACACAGTTTACCCATCCAGTGTTAATCTTATCCAGATAATAAAGCTAAGCTGGAAACGTCACAAACCACTGACTGATGTCATGGTGTCCTTGTTTTATGTGGTCTAAAAATCTACTAACGAAATGAAAATACTAGCTTCACTTGGACTCAGCTCTGACCTGTCTGGAAGTTGGACTTGAGCACGTCTGGGGGAAGAGCAATCACCCAGTTTAATATTCCGGCTACACCACCAGCCAGGAGGATTCTGGGAGTGCTGAGCTGAGACACACTGGCACACAGTCAGAGAGAAGTGAAAGCACAGATTTACAGCATCTGACAAATCTTTGGTCTTTATAGGAGTTAGAACTGTTCAAATGGATACTGACCTTTGACCCTCAGGGGTCAGGACATCCTTGAGATATTCATACGTGAGGAAGTACAGACCGCTAGAAGGTACGTCTGAGACCGAGATGGAGAGAGAAACAGTCACACCGCTAAACCTCGGGTCACCTCAGCTCCTCTGCTCGAGGTCACACAACACTGTCACGCACAAACATACAGATACACAAACCACAGTGCAGCGTACCTCTGATCAGAGTGAGCACAGTTCCTTTGTAGACGCTGCGGATCCCCTGCTCCTTATAGAGCCTGACCGCACAGTCCAGTGGACCTGCGTACTTGGACCTTCCACCGCTCGACTGCACCTGGAAAACACACATTTCACAACATTTACTTAAATACATAAATATATGTGTCAGTCATGCCTTTAAATATGTGTTGGATTAAAGCCTCCCATGGATATTAGTTTATAACTAGTCAGGTTATGGTATAACCACACGAATAAAAGTTACGCAACTGATGTTTAAAGCTGGATATGTGAGCAGAGCGACTTCTGCACGTGTCTGTGAATGAAGAGCATTTGCTCTCAAAAAGCACCGTAAATTATAATCAACCATAAAACAAGTGTTTACTTTGGATTCTAATTATTTCACAGGAACCTGACTGCACGCGTACACGCAGACACACACACACACACACACACACACACACACACACACACACACACACACACACACACACACACACACACACACACACACACACACACACACACACACACTTACCTGTAGCAAGCATTTGATCCTCTCTCCTGGAGCTACTATCACTGTAGTGAAGACTCCTGCCAGACAGCCGGACAGGAATATCTGATGGTACCTGAACAGAGCAGGTGATGGAAGTTCAGCTGTGTAGAAGTCAGACTCACTCCCAGGCAGCCACCTCAGTAACAGCTGGGTACTCTTCCAGGCAGTTATCATGAACCATGACCCAGATTAATATTATTTTTCGTTTCCCTGGTCAGCAGGACCAACAGCATCTTATACGTATTTGAAACAGCTGTTTCCCTCTGGAACATCTGCTTCTACAACTATCTCTGCACAGCTGCAGAATTCTTTCAAACTCAATTCAGGATTTTTTGAATATTCGCTCGCTTTGAATCTCCACCAGCAGCTGAGGGAAACGTCTGCCTCTGTAGCTGCAGATGCAATATTTGCACCAGTTAGTCTGCAAAGAGCAGTTTCTTGTTGCTGCGCCTGTGAGTCAGCTGCACATCAGTAGGGTGTTGATGGGGAAACCTGAGAGTATTTGGACACACTTCCACACATGAGCATCTTTAAGAGCAGCTTTAAAACATTCTTACAACAATAAATGAAGATTCAGAGATCAGATCGCTATGATGGGTGGATTAGGGCTTCTCTTCTTGAAATAGCTTTCTGATTGGTTGGATTGAAAGGTGGGTGGGGCTTCTAGACCAAAAATGAGACTGCTACTTATGACATCATACAGATCCAAGAGTAGAAAAGAAACTGACCAGTTTGAAGCCTGAACTTAAGTCATCTCGTTATTGGATCAATAATGTTTCGTAATTTCTCAAATTTTATGTGCAACATATTTTAGTGCTGAGATTTTAAATCTCAGTGGGTCTTTCCTGGTTAATTAAATAATAAAATGTAAAAATTAATTAAAAGTACTGTAGACACACTGAGCTCAGTATTAAAACTATGGCCACCAGTGGAACATCAGTGCCAGGAAACAAAGGATATCAGGTCCTCTCTGAACACAGGATACTGTAGTTCTGCTCACTTAACTACAGACACGCTGACTGTGTTGCTATAAAGTCTTCAGAGGTGAGACAGAAGCTACCAGTGATCGCCAACTCATGCTTAACATTTCATATGTACGTCAGGGTAACAGGACGGGGGTGTGAAGGGGGCGTGCTGCTTCAAATGAACGAATGACAACAGAAGGAAGGGAGGCAGGGCGAGAGTTATATATAGAGAAACACACAAGCGACAGTGTGTAAGCTTTGGAGGAGTGTTTGAAGGTTAAGGTGACGTTTAATGATTGGATCTAGCCTTTTAGCTGTGATAGTTACACATTACTGATGTTGAGCCTATTTTAAAAACAGCTGGATGTGTAACAGGTCTGCTCCAGCCTACAAACACAGACGGGGCTAAAGAGAAAGTGCGCTCTCTTTCACTTCTAAGGTGTTAAGCAGGTCTTAACATTGGATCAATTCAGCCTCAGATGAACAACAACACATGAGCCTTCACACCAACTCACTCTTAAACAAAAATGAAGCCAAAAAGCAGAAGCTGTAAGAGCACCCCATGATTCAGCAGCTTTAACAGCAATGAGCTGAAGCAACTGTTTCCTGTGTGACCTCATGAGTCTGTCACGTCACTGTGGAGTTTTATTCCACTCATCTTCACAGTGTTTCTTCAGTTCGATGTTTGCAGCATTCATTTATGCACAGCTCTCTGAAGGTGTGTGTGTTTGTGTGTGTGTGTGTTGGAACTAACATGAGCGGTTTTCCAGAAGCCGTCTGTTGGAGCTGTTTTCCAAGACCAAACCCAAAGAAACTGATGGCCATCATAGGAGCCACACCTGCCAGGGGCGCCCCCATGCCTTTATAGAGACCAAGGATGCCCTGACACACACACACACACACACACACACACACACACACACACACACACACACACACACACACACACACACACACACAAATGATTTTAAATGAGTTTCTAGTTTTTAATTAAAGTGCCTATACTTCAGTTGATGTGTCACATGTTGAAAACAGAGCTGCGTGGCTGTGGCCTGTGTGACTGTCCTGCAGAAAGCGCTCACCTCTTTGGATACGGTCTTGCGTAAGCAGTCATAGGTTCCTGTGTAAAGCACATACTGAGCGGCTTTGGGCTGTGTTTGTAGTCTCACCTGAAACACACAGTTTAAATAAGAAGAATTACACACACGCACAAACACACACAGTGACCATGCAGGAGGATTGCTGAGTGCTGTCAGACAGGAGGAGACACCCACTAACATCTGCTGCTCTGTCACTGATAAACAGGGCGGTGCTGCGCTCATGTGACGGTTACTGCGATGCTGTGATCAAACTGTTTCTTCACAAAGACTCAGTGCGTCGCACACAAACACACAGACGTGGTTTAGATAGACTACAAAAAGATCTGGATTAAAAATAATGCCCATGTTGTAACGATAGGTTGTTGGTATTTAGCATTTACATTAGATTTCTGCACATTCAAAGTTTCTATATGGTAAATGGCCTGCATTTGTATAGCGCTTTACTCAGTCCCTAAGGACCCCAAAGCACTTTACACTACATTCAGTCATTCACCCATTCACACACACATTCACACACACATCCACACACTGGCAATGGCAGCTACATTGTAGCCACAGCTGCCCTGGGGCGCGCTGACAGAGTACGCACAATTATGTGAATAATAAAGTTATAAAAATCATAAGCAGTTATTACTTTAAAAAACTAAGTTATACGTTTTAGAAAAGGTGAAAATGCGACAGTGAGAGTAATGAGACGTTTCTATTGTGATGTGTTCAATACATGTGATGCTTCATCGCTTTACTTTGTTTTCGTCAGAAATCTGATTTTAACTTCGGGAGTTTGAGCTGCACACTTTGTACCCACGCTGTGACATTTCCTCGACAGTCTCCCGCTGGCTCTAAGCAGCCTCATTACTCTGTGTTCAGGTGGCCGCCTCGGCAACAGTTTAAGCCGATTTGTCGGTAATCTCTTTAGCACCACGATCTGACATTTCCCGTGACTTCTTCAGAAACATTACCCCCCGACACACACACACACACACACACACACACACACACACACACACACACACACACACACACACACACACACACACACACACACACACACACGCGGACGTGGACTGAATGTTTCTGTCTAAAGGTCTAAATCAGCTGTGTTGAAGCTCGGCTCGGGCTGCAGCTCTCACCTTGATGGTGTCCAGTGGGTGTCCGGCCAGCAGCAGACACGCTCCTCCGACACCCCCAGCCACGAA